AAAAACACTTTAAAATGATTTTCTTCTTATAAGTGTAAAAAATAAAATCAAAGACAAAAATTGAAATGAATATTTCACCAGGGTTACCCCTACAAGACAATGCTAGCAGTAGCCGCTAACGTCAACAAATATCCTGCACCTAACGATACAGATCGCTAGGACAGCCTAAAGTCCAGATGAGGTCCACATTAAACTACCAGTAACTTAATACTCACTACTAAATAAACGATCATTATAAACATAACCTCTAAAACAAATTAGCAGCTAACATACCTCTGAATGAAGTGATGCTGCAGGCACCGGCATTCTGCTCCTCCTGACCGCAGACAGTTTAAAATCCACTTTTTATGTTATCATTCTGTGAGCTTTCTACATTTTGCATCTTTGTGTGATAATCAGTGTTATCATATGTTGTCATAGGGTTGGGCAGAATCGTGTGGAATTATGCATCAGATAAACTTTTGCTGGTTATTATTTGGCACCTGGTGATGTAAGACGTGTGTGGTACTGACAGCCTCAGCAAATCATTAGATTCTGTCGAAAACTCATTCACCTTCATCATACGAGTCAAGTCTGACATATTTGTGAACAAATTGTTGTTATATATCTTGAAATAGGACCTAAATCCATAAAATATAGACTCTCTGCAGTAGTTTCACCCATAGACATTTTACTTCCTGCCCTCCAGCGGAGATCGCTCCGCCTTCAAAACCACTTGACTGAAACCCAGCTATTGGCCTAAAATGTTATAGTGTGACAGGGTCTTAAGGGGCTTAAGCTGCACATAGTCCCGTCATAAAACAATTTCAGATAACTAGAATATAAGTGTGCTAAAGCCAAATAAATGTAAAATCTGCCTGTTGTTGAACTGACCTGCTGCTGCTCTGCTGCGCTCTCATCTTCATCATTTTCACCATCAGAGCAGAAGCTGACTGTTACATTAGCAAGATGGATATATGACCGAACGAACGTCCMCGTCTTTTTTTTATCATCGCTGTGGGTAAAAATACATGAAAAAATTTTTTCTCCGACAACTTGGGTGTGAAAAAAACTACGGTTGTTAAATCTGTGCTCTGCGTGACCTGCAGCGGGAGGGTGAAATTTTGAGGATTTATGGTGCGTTCACACCGAACGCGATTTCAGCGTCAGGAGCAGCAGGTTTACATACAAAGTCTATGGTGGACGCGCTTCAAGCAACGTCGGGAAGTTCTGCGGCGCCTCAAGCGCGATTAGAGCAGCGCGATTTGGACGATTTGGACGCGCCGCAGAACTTCCCGACGTTGCTTGAAGCGCGTCCACCATAGACTTTGTATGTAAACCTGCTGCTCCTGACGCTGAAATCGCGTTCGGTGTGAACGC